GCACTGACAGACCCAACACAGCTGGACTCCATGTCTATCCAACAGGTGGGGGTGGAATGGACGTCCATTCCATTCAGGGTTAGAAAACCGACCAATCAGAGCAGGGCAGATTGGACGTACATTCCATTTGGTTTCAGACGTTGAACGTCAAATCAACCACGGAGTCAATTGACTTCAAACTTTGCATGTAGGCCGTAGTGGATATGAAATACAACATATCCAAATCAAAAGCGATAATTCCGCCGGGAAGGGGTTACATTGTGGTGTCAAAGTCAATGAGTTGAGGTGCGATGTTTGATAGGGTAAGCCATCAACCCAACCAGACCCAACTAAATATATATATTTTCACCCCAGGCAACGGAGCGGCGAAAAGCGGTGCAAGATCAACAAAGTAAATAAAAATAGCAAAATATATAAAAAAACGGAAAGGCTTCATTCTGGAGTGATTTTAATCACAGAAAAACAAACATTAGTCGAACACGCTGGACCCAAACCAGTTGGACGTCAAACCCGTCCAAGGAGCCCATTCACCCATTGGACCCGAACCCGTTGGATGAACCCATCAACCCGTTGGAAGTCGAGCACGCTGGACGATTATATCAGAAGGTAGAGGGGGGGGTTCAAAAATATTGGAGTTTTAAAGAGCATTATCCCATACAATAATGGGGCCAGGGTTAGGGTTACAAAGAGTGAGGGTAGAGGCTGGGGTGGAGGATGAGGTGGTCAGAGTCAGGGTTAGAGTGAGGGGTGTTCAGGGAGGTCAAGGTCAGCGTAACCCATTGGAAGTCAAACCCGTTGGACCCAAACCCGTTGGACGTCGAAGCCGTTGGATGAGCGCATTAACCCGTTGGACGTCGAACCCGTTGGATGAGGAAGTCGAACACGCTGGACCCAAACCCGTTGGACGTCAAACCCGTCCCAGGAGCGCATTAACCCGTTGGACCCGAACCCGTTGGATGAACCCATCAACCCGTTGGACGTCGAACCGGTTGGATGAGGAAGTCGAACACGCTGGACCCAACCCGTTGGACGTCAAACCCGTCCAGGAGCGCATTAACCCGTTGGGAGTTGAACACGCTGGACCCAAACCCGTTGGACGTCAAACCCGTCCCAGGAGCGCATTAACCCGTTGGACCCGAACCCGTTGGATGAACCCATCAACCCGTTGGACGTCGAACCGGTTGGATGAGGAAGTCGAACACGCTGGACCCAACCCGTTGGACGTCAAACCCGTCCCAGGAGCGCATTAACAGGTTGGACGTCGAACCCGTCCCAGGAGCGCATTAACCCGTTGGGAGTTGAACACGCTGGACCCAAACCCGTTGGATGTCGAACCCGTCCAAGGAGCGCATTAACCCGTTGGAAGTCGAACACGCTGGACACAAACCCGTTGAACGTCAAACCCGTTGGACGTCGAACCCGTCCAAGGAGCGCATTAACCCGTTGGAAGTCGAACACGCTGGACACAAACCCGTTGAACGTCAAACCCGTTGGACGTCAAACCCGTCCCAGGAGCGCATTAACCCGTCGGAAGTCGAACACGCTGGACCCAAACGCGTTGGATGTCGAACCCGTCCAAGGAGCGCATTAACCCGTTGGAAGTCGAACACGCTGGACACAAACCCGTTGAACGTCAAACCCGTTGGACGTCAAACCCGTCCCAGGAGCGCATTAACCCGTTGGGAGTTGAACACGCTGGACCCAAACCCGTTGGACGTTAAACCCGTTGGACGTTAAACCCGTTGGACGTCAAACCCGTTGGACGTCAAACCCGTTGGATGAGGAAGTCGAACACGCTGGACCCAAACCCGTTGGACGTCAAACCCGTTGGATGAGGAAGTCGAACACGCTGGACCCAAACCCGTTGGACGTCGAACCCTATCCAACAGGTGGGGGTGGAATGGACGTCCATTCCATTCAGGGTTAGAAAACCGACCAATCAGAGCAGGGCAGATTGGACGTACATTCCATTTGGTTTCAGACGTTGAACGTCTAATCAACTACGGAGTCAATTGACTTCAAACTTTGCATGTAGGCCGGAGTGGATATGAAATACAACATATCCAAATCAAAAGCGATAATTCCGCCGGGAAGGGGTTAAATTTTAGTGTCAAAGTCAATGAGTTGAGGTGCGATGTTTGATGGGGTAAGCCATCAACCCAACCAGACCCAACTAAATATCTATATTTTCACCCAGGCAACGGAGCGGTGCAAAGCGGTGCAAGATCAACAAAGTAAATTAAAATAGCAAAATATATAAAAAAACCGAAAGGCTTCATTCTGGAGTGATTTTAAACACAGAAAAACAAACATTAGTCGAACACGCTGGACCCAAACCCGTTGGATGTCAAACCCGTCCAAGGAGCCCATTCACCCATTGGACCCGAACCCGTTGGATGAACCCATCAACCCGTTGGAAGTCGAGCACGCTGGACGATTATATCAGAAGGTAGAGGGGGGGTTTCAAAAATATGGGAGTTTTAAAGAGCATTATCCCATACAATAATGGGCCAGGGTTAGGGTTACAAAGAGTGAGGGTAGAGGCTGGGGGGGAGGATGAGGTGGTCAGAGTCAGGGTTAGAGTGAGGGGTGTTCAGGGGTCGAACCCGTTGAACGAACCCGTTAACCCCTTGTACCCAAACCAGTGGGATGAAACCATCCCCTCTAATGCCCGCTGGACATGCCCGTTGAACGTTGTATGCTTATGGCTAAGGTCCCCTAGTAGCACTTTTGAAGGGAACCGATGAGGCCCCATGCCATTTTGGGCGTCCTCGGAAAAGAAGCTCCTGAGAGCTCCCACTCCCTCTCCCAATGCAATGATATGGCCAGTAATAAGTTCCAGCTACCGGTCTCCTT